TTTGACCAATCAGAGTAAAAGTTACTGAACTTAAGATTAGTAAACTTTACTGTGATTGGTTAAATTTCAATCTAATCCCAATCCCAATCCGTAGTCTGATACGGGGCATAAGTCAACGGCACACGACACTAGTTTTCCTACTAAATTATTTACGAGAACCAATGAAGTCCGTATCAGACTACGGATTGAGATTGAGATTAGATTGAAATTTGACCAATTAGAATAAACGTTAAGCCCGTATCAGACTACGGATTGAGATTGGGATTAGATTGAAATTTGACTAATCAGAGTAAAAGTTACTGAACTTGAGATTAGTAAACTTTACTATGATTGGATAAATTTCAATCTAATCCCAATCCCAATCCGTAGTCTGATACGGGCTTTACTAAACTTGAGATTAGTAAACTTTACTATGATTGGTCAAATTTCAATCTCATCCCAATCTCAATCCGTAGTCTGATACGGGCTTAAGGATGCAGAGTTTTAGATCAGGTGACTTGAGGCTAACTCCTGATTGGCTCTCGTAAGCAACTTACTGGATTCCTTACGAGAGCCAATCAGGATTCAGTTTGGAGTCAAACTGATCGAAAATTCTGCATCCTGATTGGCTCTTGTAAGCAATCCAGTAGGAAAAATAGTATCGTGTGCCGTTGGCTTTAAATCCTGATTGGCTCACGCAAGCAATCCAGTAGGAAAACTAGTATCGTGTGCCGTTGGCTTTACTCTTTATCTTTCTCCGCTTCTGATGTCCATTTCTATCATTGCCGATTAACTTTAACGTCGGCTTAACTTACTTTTTGTCTTTTTCTAGCTCTGAAAATTAGAAATGGATACAAATCAACCCGAGATTTCAGTTAATCTACATTGGTAGAAATAGACGTTAGAACTAGAAAAGGATACGAAGAAAGTTAAATCGAGATTAAAGTCAATCTATATTCACAGAAATGGACACGAGAGAAATAAATGCACGTGTATACGTAAAATATTATGTCAACTGATCTCTTTCGCAAGGTCGTACCTCGATTTTACGCAATTTTCGTTTTTTTCTGCTTAAACGCTCATTTAGGGCCGGAGGCTCGATCATGAATCTTTTTCTCTATCGGGAAGAATATTGAATTCTTCAATGAAATTTTTCACTTTTCCCGAGTTCACGCTAGAAGAAAAGATTCATGATCGAGCCCCAGAATGAGCGTTTAAATTGGAAATTGTGTAAAATTTAGATACGACCTTGCGAAAGAGATCAGTCGTTATGTCTATTAGCGGATCTTTCGATTACACTTCAGCACCAAGTTTTGAAATTCTATTCGAAGTCTATTTGACACTGAACTAAAAAATATAGAGATAATGCCTGTCTATTTTTCTATCTCTAAAGCTTATTTTGCGAAAACTGTTCAATTTGTAATTGCTTATTTGATAATTGGATCGTGAAATTTTCGAAGAGAGTACAGATTTCAAGATGATCAGAGAATCTATCGTTGAAATTAAAATAAGTTGTAGAATTTTTGGCTTTAATTTGATATACATATGTACACATATATCGAGTCAGGTGAGTCGCTAATAAGCGACATAAAAACACGTCGGTATCTTTTATGATATCGACGATATAGCACAACGTTGTAAATGTATACGAGAGCAAAATTCAAGTGAATTACTTCAAAATGTCGTCTATTAGCGACTCATGATATACGAAATGGCATTTTGAGAATAGGATCTATACCGCATTTTACAAGTGATGTCCAGGCGTTACAAGTATTACGATAACAATTTTTCCACAAAATCTTTTATCGTAAATCTCAATTCCGCTGAAATTTCCTTCATAGTTGAACGTAGAGGAAAGTCCTCTCTTATGAGATAGGATTCTAATGTGAGATAGGTTTTAAACGTCCAAATTCAATCGCAAATCTTTTTTCGCAACGATTACACGATCTAACAATCAATTTTCCACCGAACAGATTTCACTCTAAGGGCAATAAATTTATGGTGGAATCAACAAATGATGTCTGATTAATTTAGCAGAAACTTCGCTATCTTATAAATTAAATTGGTAAAATCAGCTCGTTTTCTTGTAAAAACAAATGAATAAGGACAAAAGGCCAATAACAACCCGAGCAATAGAAGGTGAAAGCCAAAAATTTTATCTAAATAACTGAATTAGTTTTTGACCTTCACCTTCTATTGCTCGGGTTGTTATTGGCCTTTTGTCCTTATTCATTCGCTACCTTATATTGGGAGCCTGCCTCATAATGGGGGATTTTCCCCTCTGTCATTTTTTATTTCGGTATTTGTAGATTTAATTCTTTTTACGGGGGGGATAAAAGCAGAAGGTAAATAGCGGTTTTAATCAGCTATAGCAAAAAATTTTATTTCGACCGAGCGTGTACAATTGGAACAAGAGTATTGTCCTCTTGGTTTTTTTTTCCACAAATTCACCGGCATCGGCGGCGTCGGTAAAGCTTTGCTATCCCTCCCTCAATAGCGGATACCTCCCCTCTTCGCTTCCTCCCCTTTCGTTGAACGCGACAATGGAATATTCCACTGGGTACCTATTCCATCTGCCTTCTTCACTGAGAGAGGGGGGATTTTCCTTCTCTCTCTCTCTCTCTCTCTCTCTCTCTCTCTCTTTCTCTCTCTCCCCCCCCCCCCCCTTGCTTTTTCGTTGCGATAGCTTCTCCTGCCTTGGTCTCCCAGGACAGGAACGTGAATAGTGATTGGCAGCAGCAGCGATACAAATGTTAATTCACTTCCACACGATCCAGATGGTAACTTCAATTTTCTTCGTGCGGTTTTAATTAGACAGGGCAGTCGTTAAGTCGTGTTGACTTCGATTTCACAATTTTTATACCTAGAGGAGACTTCGTTAATAACGTCAATAAGCGAATTGTCCGCATTATAACAATAGATTGGACAGCAGGTTCGGTTTCTGTGTCTGCGTTAAATGTGTGTTTTGCTGGCGGAATCTGCCGATGCGATCTGACAATGGATCATCGGTAGAAGCTGAACAGAATTTGTTGTTTTATAAACGGTTAAATGATTACGAAACAGTAGAATCTGTTGTTCAGTTTCCGCGGTCATCTGGAGTTTGTTACACTTTTACTGTTGTTCTATTGACAAAATTGGGGCGGACACTCTCAAAATCTGTTCCCAACAGATTTTGCCGTTTATGATATTACGTTGTCTATACGTTGCTTGGAGATTGATGATCGAAAGATGTACGGGATTGAGCTCGGTCTGTTTTGAAGCAAAGCTGTTTTTCACAAGGGGCGCGATTTCTAGAAGAAATCCCTTTCGAAGTTCACCTCTACTTTTGAAAATGGAGATTTTTTTTAAAGTTTAAACTAATTCTTCCGGTCTCTCTTTTTACATCAGGGAGTGACCGTAAGATCGATTTCGCATTTAACGAAATTTTAGCTATTGTACATTAAGTTGTAACTAATTGTATGACCGTAATTTAGGCACATAAGTACATAATACTGTAGAATAATTAACTCTTTGTCGAAGTGCGAGAAAAACGTATAGCGTAGCTGTAAGAGAAAAGTAGAGGAAAGTTCCCTATTATAAGATAAGCTCCTAATGCGAGATGGCAAGGTTTTTGCTAAATTAATGGGCATCGTCTATTGCTTTCCTCTTTTCATCGTTAATTTATTGCCCTCGGGGTGAAATCTGTTTGGTGGAAAATTCATTGTTGGATCGTGTAATTGTTGTGAATAAAGATTCGTAATGAAATTTTGATGTTGAAAACCTGCTATCTCATATTAGGAGCCTATCCCGTAACAGAGGACTTTCCTATCAATTAATTTTCCGTAACGACACGAAGACGTCCGCAGTCCGCGATATCAACACGGCCCTGAAGTCCCCCCCCCCCCCTTGCCGTTCTTTTCGTTCCAATCTGACGCGCTAGTCCGCTATAGCAGCGACCAATCGGCTCGTCCGTTGCGCCACCTGCACTCCCGTGAACGCAGGGAGGGAGGATAGAGGGTGAATTAGGTAGAGCGTATGTGTAGCGAGGCATCGGGGCGAAGCGAGGAGCGAGTCGAAGACATTACGTTCGCGCCGGAGCGCTTTATGCCGGGGCCGGGGCCGGGCTGAGGCGCGCGCGTGGTTGCAGCGGAGCGAAGTTAGCCGCGAGTTTTCCGGGGGACTTGTCGTATCTACACCGCGGATCCGTCGAACCGTTGAAGATGAGCGTGCACGTCGTCGAGAAGAAGGGCAGCAGCGCGCTCAAGGGCCCCAACGGGCTGATCGCGGCTATGGAGAACGAAGACGGCGACTGGCAGAGCGGACAGAACCTCCTGCTGGTCGCGCAGGATGTCCAGGGCAAGGAGCTCGTCAACCTGACCGACAATCAGACCATCAACGTGGCTGTGGACACCTATTGTTCGTACACTTGGATATCGCTTCTTTCGCCGGGGGCGACGGTTTCGGCGCGGGGGAGGGGAGGGGGGGGGGATGCGATTGGTCGATCCTATCGTATCGCGTTTTGTGAATCGATGAGTGCAAATCGAATTTAAATTTGCGATAGGTCGTAGACGTGATGCAAATTCGCTTGACGTTGATACGTTTGGTCTCGGGTATGTTCTTTATTGCGATATTTTGAGAACGGAGCGGAGGTTAGTCTCTCTTCGTGAATTTAATCCTTCCTTCCTTGTCCTAGCGGGTGCTCGTGAAACGATTCTTACGTAAAATGCTGCCCACGCCCCAGATAGCACACTGAATTCACAAAGTATTCTTTAAGTTTTCTTTTTTCTGAATTGTAATTTAGGAATTTACAGAAGAATACAATAAGAGTGACAGAGGAAGTTACATGCACCATAAATCGTTTTCCTGACAACTTCTCAAAGTATTCATCTCGAATTCAATAAATGTGAATTTTATGAATTCAAGGGGAATAGTGTTAGAACAAAGAGGATTACAAAATATTTACCCAATGTATGTACACATCTAATATGCAGTAACATTACACCATTATTATAATTTCTCACTCAACAGTGAGATACTCTCAACCGAAGCTCGTTGACAATCGGATGATTCTTCCGTTTCGGTTCTCGTCGTTCGATTCTTTCTTTTACACAATAGAACTATTGCACAAAATTAATTGCACATAACGTTACGCACACAAAATATTGCACGTGATAACACGCTGCACAAGAACGTCCGGATGGCGGTTAGCGGATACTCGCGCATGACAAATAATTCCTCATAAATTCTTAAAGTATTCACAGTACTGAATCGCGAAGTATTCATTATAATGAACTTCAGAAGAACACTTCAAGACGAACTGATTGAGACTAATTCTTCAAGAATTCTTCAGATATTCATTTTTCTAATTCTGTATGTTTTCTTTAAAATGAATTCTCTATGAACTTATGTTCATCTTTGTGCTATCTGGGACAGCACAGAAAGATTGCAGGAAGATTGCAGAAATGTTACATTGCAAGATTGCAATATGTACCTCATGTCCGATGTACCTCACACATCGTCTCGATTCTTGTTTCAGGGTTACTGGAACTCGCTCATAGAGAGTACCAGGCGGGTGATTACGAGAACGCAGAAAGACACTGTATGCAGCTGTGGCGACAGGAGACCAACAATACCGGCGTTCTCCTCTTACTTTCGTCCATACATTTCCAATGTAGGAGATTGGAGAAGTGAGTAACCTCTTATCGCGTTCGATCTTTCACAGATGTATTTACATACCGAGGTGGACATACAGCTTCTTTAAATTGTTGTGTTTCTCTTTAAATCGCGGTGTTCTTCGTCATATAAAGCCATAAATTTGCACGTTCTAGATCGGCACATTACAGCAGCTTAGCGATAAAGCAAAACCCACTGTTGGCGGAGGCGTATAGCAATTTGGGAAATGTATATAAAGAGCGCGGGCAGCTACCGGAAGCGTTGGAGAATTATCGTCATGCTGTCAGGCTGAAACCCGACTTCATCGATGGTTACATCAACCTGGCTGCGGCACTTGTGGCGGCTGGTGATATGGAACAAGCCGTTCAAGCCTATGTTACAGCGCTACAATATAACCCCGTGAGAAAATTAACATTACCAACATATTGCAGTTAAACTATAACTTATAAAACGGAGCAGCTAAGGCTCGGGTTTTTATTTTCTGGTTAACAGTTGACTATATGGAAAATGAAAAGCTGGACTTGAATGATTTCTTAAGAAATCAGAAGCAGAAAATTAAGTTGTCGCTTGTAAAATAAGTCGAGCTTTACTCTACGGTGAAGCTATTCCGCGAATAAAGTTGATTTATCTCCTTTGACTATGGAGTGAGAAATAAGAAGTTGCTCCGTTTAGAAAACCAATGTTCCATTACATAATGTTCTTTAATTTTGAATGAGACACAAGCTATGCGGAAATAATTTACATATTTTGCTTGTTCCAGGACCTTTATTGCGTGCGGAGTGATCTTGGTAATCTTTTGAAAGCATTAGCAAGACTTGATGAAGCCAAGGTATGTTTTAGATTCATTCCCACTAGCCAATAAATTAATCCAACGTGTCACGCACATGTTCGCGAGCGTCTTTACTTCGATCAAGCTATAGACGGCGGAACCGATCGAGTTGTAGGAATATCACGTCAAGCTCCTTGAATTAACAGATTGCCACGGAAGAGTCTCTTTTAACTTCAGAAAGATACTTGTCCCATTCTGAGAATTGCATTACCTTTCCCGTATTTTCCTACAAATAACGGAAATTAATAATCAACTCTGTGGGCACTTCTGGACCAAGGAGAGCAGAGAAACTTCTTTCATTTGAGCGCGTAACGCTCGAACAGAAAATGTTCCGCCATCCTTGGGTCTTGATTGACATCTCTTGACGGAGTACAAACGTATCGTGCGTATGTGCACGAGCTACAGCGCTCAGTTCTCCGCGAAATGAGCGGACCGAACGAGATTCGTTCGTGCCGTTGCCACGAGAAGCTTTCAATCCTTGCCAAGCAACTTGCAGCGCGGCGCACGATCTTTCATCATTGAGATTGATTTGTAAATTGAGCCGCAAGTTTCGAGTCTCGTTTCGCAGCTGTCACCTGCGGAATAAACATGTGAGAAATGTAATCGCGAGCTCTATAGAAGATTGAAGATCGTGCGCGTTTCTTCAACCTGTAAGATTAAAAGCGCGTTTTATGTCGTGAGCAGAAATTAATTTTTCGGAGCGACATTAAGCGATGGTTTTAACATAAAACCCTAAACAATATAACGACTTTTAACAGACGTATGTCAGTCCGGATGCTTTGCAAAAATTTGTCAATTTTTCTCCGTTGAAAATAATGCATTGTCAAAAGAATTGAAGATACAATCGAATGTTCCAAGAGAAAAATACGAATCTTGAGTTTCTTTTTTTAAATAATTCTTCTTTTCCTTTTGACTTATTGTTGCAGCATTTCAACAGAGTTTTTTTCAAGTCAACAGAATAAAGAAATATTTTATAGTGTTTAGGGGATTATTGTCAATGTAACTGAAAAGAATGTTCTTTCTAGCGTGGCGCATTTTGCAGCAACACCAAGTGCGTTTTGACTATTTTGAGGACTCGTGGTGTTGCCGTAAATGATGAATTGTTTGCCAGTTCTATCTAAATAAATTTCAGTTCCACTGAATCAATACTGATGGCCCTAGCAGCGCGCGAATGTAGTGAATGAGCTGACCTATATCTCTTGTTTGGGATGTGTGATTTACTCTTACTGCAGCGCACATGCATTACCACGTGCGTGCTTATACAACACTTTCATGTGACGACGGAAGGGAGAGAAAGAGAGATAGAGGGAGAGAGAGAGAGAGAGAGTGAGTGAGTGGGAGAGAATCTGTGGTGTGTACGGTAATACTAGCGCGAGATCACTCGACCAGTTGATTTAAGTCGAATAGAAAATTATTATATCGGGTTAAATCAGCAACGCGATAATACTTGTTTACAACGACGGTTCTTAACGCGGGGAAAGAGTTGACGTAAAGTTCACGTAATAACGCAGGTTCATGTAACATTACCACTACAAAGCCGATGCTTTTAAGCGTTAATACGATTGAATGGTAAGAAACACACACGTAAGATCGTTAAGTTTTACCGGACTTTTATACTTTGCTTTCTGAATCGATGACTATAATCTGTCGTTAATCGGTCAAGTGATCTGTTTCTGCAGCGCGGCGCGGCAACGACCGGTGAAGGTGTATCTATAAATGATATATTCGTTATATATACTCTTTTCGTTTGCATCGCCTGGTCGTTTCTAGCAAGTGGTAAATGTTTCGATGCACGATCGGCACGAGTATAGATTTATTATAGACACGCCCTTATTCGGTCCTGAAAATTATAGCAAGGAGGAAAGCTTCCCGTTACGCTTACCGCTATTCCTGAGAACTGGCTGGTACGCTCGTTCGTTTCTTGCCGAGCTCCTTCAGCCATCTACTTGTGCGCGACAACGCGCGATAGCCCGACTCTTTCGCACTGTTTTGTTTTCCACCACGTGTCCGATGGTCGACAGTTCTAATAGATACTCACAAAAAGAAGAGAGATGCGACGCCGGGAAAGAATAGCAGCTGGCTGATGAGCTCGGCAAGGCGCGCCCCTCGCGGGCGCGTAAATGATGAAACTCTTTGTGTACACAAATATAGAGAAAAAGTAGAGAAAAAAAGAGATGATAAAAGATAAAAGACAAAGATTGAGGCGAAGAGTAATCAGTGAAGAGACATTAACGCAGCTGTCTTATTGTTGTGGATGGGATGATCAACTCTAGGAGGGGATGTGCAGGAGCAGTGTGAGGTTGGTCGGTTACCGTGCCGGTTCCTTCGACAAAGGGTGAATCTGAATCTGGTTATTCAGTAACACACTGTCTCTCGGTCTAAGTTTAATATGAGAGCTTGCAAGCCGTACCTTCTGAGTCAACCCACCAAAGGGTACACTGCAGGTAAAGTAATTCCCACGGCTGGTCTCTAAAAGCCCTCCAGTTCTTTTCGCAACTCGTCCTATCAACGAAAAGAGGAATCTAAAGTATCATCCCTGGTCCCGTCCTGTCGGATGTCGCGAAGTAATTTTATGAAAGACAACCAGTACGTTGATTATTCTTAGGTTTAACATCCGTAGCATTGTTTTTTTAAATTTGCTTAAATGGATTTTAAGACGCAAACAAGACTTTTGGATCTTAATGTTTTAATTATAATGTTAAGATATGATATTATATCTGTATTATAATATTATTCAAGTGTATATTTTTATCGTTAAAGTTCTTTCTAAAGCTGATATTCACCTTAAACATTTTTGCGTTCGATACATTTATCAATTTTAATTTTTTAAATTTAATAGCAATTTTGTTGCGTTTTTTTGGCTAGATGATAAAGTTTTTCAATATACCTTGTTACTCTACCTTTTATCAGAAAATTATAATGGGCCCGATTTATTTGCATTAAATCGCGTATTCGGACGAGTCACGCGTTCTCCAATTCCTTTCCTACTTTTTTTCTCTCCTTTAATTCCAGGTACTCCGCACCTTGTAGAGACCGGTCAACTGTAAATGCCCTCTTATTGTTTAGGTACGGATTACTCTGTTCGATATCAATGCAGCCCGCCTCTCGACACGCGCGATAATTATCCACGCTGTATCCTTTAGAGTCGTCATCTTGTCGGACAGTCCTTCCTCGACATTCTTCGCTACGGATCGAAATTGTTTTTCGCTGATAAGCTTCCGTTAATCGCGAGTCCAGAGGAAATTGAGTCGACTTGATTTTAGCGTACGACCTTCAGACTGCGGTCGAGTCCGCCGGACGCATTTCGGGGACTCCACGTGCACCGAATGTCGCGCGTTTCAGGATGACGGCCCTAGCGCGCACCTCGATACCTTTTATCCCGGGCCTACTCCGAGTCCCGTCCGAGAATGAATTGTTAACCATTCGCGAGGCAACCCTCGTTCATTCTGTTTCCATTCCTTGTCTCTTTCTTGCCCTCGACGAGCACGAGGAGGGCGAACTTCAAGATCGACGGCAATGCGAGACCAACGAAGAATCCGAAAGTCGAATAAATCACAAAGGTGGCAGTTGTAAAGAAACATGACATGATATAGCCAGGAAATGTTCGTTGGACGTTATTAAGTTGCTTTTTTTTATATCTCTAATGTACACACATGTGGTAATTTTGATATGGCATACTTTTGTTTTCAGGAAAATCTGTTAGATCGTAGTAGAAAAACTTGTTGATATTTTGCTCGTTATTGCGTAATTTTAATGTATGATTTCACGCAGGTTCATACTTCTACAGATATTTTATTTTAAACATATTTTTGTTCCCACGGATTGTCGCTTTCACAGATATCTGCCTGGACTTTTGCTTCCGCTGATCTTTCATGAGATATTAAATCTAGCGTAAATCCTACAAGATATTCTTTCGTTACTCTTTTATTACCTTTAAATCACTGCATTAGACAGGATGTTGGAAAATGGCCCAGAATTAAAGGTGTATAGAAATTATTGAATGTTAAATTAAATCTTTTGAAACCTCTGACAAGTCTGCAACAGTCTTCCGTGTTCTTAAAGTCAATATGATCCTGAGATCTGAAGAAATAATAATCTATCTCGTAAACACAATGATTCGGTAACAAAAGATCGCGAGGAGACTTGAGCAGCTCTAAAGAGACGTTGAAACTGTCCAATTGTTGAGGATGGGTAGAGAGACATGGTGAGGAAAGGAAACAGAAGTGACATAAAGAGTGGCAAAAATATGTTCTTGTTCTTTCGAGATTAACGACGAGAGGATGAAGGCAGAGAAAAAGAGAGACTGAAAGGAAGAGCGTGTGAAAGTGAGAGAAGCTGCGGCGCGGCAATGGGAGGTCGGGCATACTGCGCGGCGCGCGTCCCTTTGAGTTCGCGAATAAGACCGCTGTAAACTGTATTCTGTTTCTCTAGGCCTGCTACTTGAAGGCGATCGAGACGCGACCGGACTTTGCAGTTGCCTGGAGTAATCTCGGCTGCGTGTTCAATGCGCAAGGGGAGATATGGTTGGCGATACACCATTTCGAAAAAGCGGTTGCCTTGGACCCTAACTTTTTAGATGCGTACATCAACCTTGGGAATGTGTTGAAGGAGGCTAGAATTTTTGACAGGTTTGTTTCTACGTAAATTGATAATTTATCAGTTACACACTCTTTTTTTTACTCCTTCAACAATACGTCCCGTGATGATCCCAGCTAGTCAAATTTGTTGAAAATATGATTGCAAGTTTTTTTGCTACAATTTTTCTCGGTAGAATGCTAGCAGAAATGTAATAGATTGTAGAAATCGAACAAAATCTGTCATTTCGTAATCATTAAGGTCCGGTTTCACCAACGTTGTTTAACTTTAAGCCTAGTTTAATTCGTTCTTTGTTTCTTTCCAACTGTTACTTTAGAAAGAGACAAACATGAATTAAACTGAGATTAAAGTTAAGCGACGTTTTGTGAGATCGTGGCTAAATGTTAGGGAACTGTAGGATTATGCCAGTAGATTCCACTGATGGAATATGAGTTTAAAGCGGAATTGACGCTAATCTGTTGCAATATTCTGCTAGAATTTAATGCTACAAGCTTACTGCTAATATTTTATTTACTGAGATTAAAAAAGATTTTTTAACCTGGGATTTACAAAACAATTTCCTTTTCTACGTGTGTACGTTTACTATACATTTAATGTGTATATGAAAGTTTGCAAATGAAGTACGACGTGCTTTGGCATGGATTTTTTTTAGGGAATTAAACGTATAATAAACGTCTTCCCATCTTCACGTCCCGTCATCTCCAAGTCAATATTTGTCGAGAATTTAAATGACTCAGATTTGTGAGAAACGACGTGTCACACGCACAGTGTTGATCAACCAACGTCTTGAATTTATCATCGTCGTTGGTTTTAAAGTCTGTGCGAGATTAAAAGTGGCTGTAGTTATTCCATTGATGTGTTACATAAAATCAATGGCTAGTCTAAAGTCCTACATTTTCTTTTGTTTCAAGCAATTTTACCACCACCGTTTTCTCTTTCGACCATAAGTATGGAACACAATGTTAGATTCTGCATTTTTTTCCATACATTGCAGTATAAATAATATTTCTGAGTTGTCGAGGTTATCACTTAAAAGAAAATATTGAGTGGCAAAATTATATAAGCGTCACGGACTTAACATTAGCGTTTCATGCACTTAGAAACAGGCGGGTACGGCGCATGAGCTGTCGAGTCAGCACCGAGGATCGATATTTATGTAACATCCTTTTCAAGTTCATCGTCCTCTGCATTCGAATGAGAATTCGGACAATGCACCGTTTCTCCTCGAACGCAATTTTTAAGCACGGAGCATATCGCGCGATATGCTCCGTGCGAGTTAACATTCGTATTTGCATCAGCTTGTAGCGAACTTCAACTGCTTTATCAACGTTTCTCGTATGCTAAAATGCTTGTGTAATTTTACCAGAAATCGTTCTGCATATTGTCGAACTTTTGTCTTTAATTTCCACGTTTTCATAAATTCGACGGAAAACGAAGCAAATAACAGATATTTTGACATCTTTTGCAACATTATCCTTTCGTCTACGCAGTCGGCATTGCCAAATACCACTTGTAAATACTTCTATACCTAAACATTTTAGTCCTTGATTGAAGAACTAAAAATATGTCGTCATCACGGTTGCGATGAAGTAGAAAATAATATTAATTTTGGTGCGCATTTTATTTTACTTTATTCTTCAGTTCTTTTATTGGCCTATAATAGTACATATAAAAATGAATTAAGATAAAAGAGAATTGAATTAAAAGTGCCTATGAAATAATTAATAATAATGGGTTCATTAAATGCATTTATTCGGCTCCGAGGTTTCCTCACGCATAAAGTGGGAGGAAGTCGAGGACAACTATCGATTCCAAAAGCCGCTCCGCCCCCATTGGAGCCCTTCGCCTCCCGTTGTGGGAGGATACGCGTGCCCGTTCAGCTTTCATTCGCTCGCTTCGAGTTAAGCGGCTTTCCTCTGGCTGCTAGCATCTCCCGGAGCTGATCCACCTCCCAGGATCCGCACGACGAAGGATCCGCGCTTGTGTAATTCCTGCTTTAACTCCTGCCACCTAAACTTCTGTGGATCCTGGGATAAGTGAATCCTAGATCCACGTGGATCCACGGATCTGCGCAGTTCGTGCTTGTGTGATTTTTATTTCGATTCCGACGCTTGAATATCAGTTGTCGAAGTGTGAGTCGAAGACCCGCGTATCCGAAGATCCGTGCTGATGTACCTTTTGTTTTAACGCGCGGATTTTGAGAATATTGATGGACCCATGGAAACGTAAAAGACGTCCGATCCAAAAATCTTGTATTAAATTCGTACATTTGGAGAGACGCGGTTTACGCGATTTCTGCAACTTGAGAATCGTGCTGGAAAATATCCAAAGGGACTGGGTCCAACTGGATCCAGCGGTTGTCGGAAGGACTATCTGTTTCTAACAAATCTGTGGATTCAACATTTTGTGTAACATTTTGCTTTATGAAAACCCAGTATTCCGCGCCACCCCCTGACGCTTTACAAAGGTCCCTGTTTCCGCGCACCCTGCATGAGGTCGTGCTTTCAAGAATCCCTCCTCTCGAAAATCCTTAGATTTGGGATTCTTTCGCATCCCTGTCTCTAAGAATTTATTCACCTAACGTGCCGCGTCGTCAAAGATCCTTCCTTCGCACTCGGATCCGTGGCCTCTGGGATCCGCGGATCCAAGACAGCCGGGATGGGGAAGGAATGGACTGCCAGTGCGTGGTCGTCTATACGGTGATCTCGCCTTCGACCACTATCGCGCCCGCGCTTCGCGTTCAAATAGAAGATACTCTCGCGCGACCTTCCACCTCTGGATGCGTCTCCTGGATCAGGCGCTACGTTAAAAGGTTCATCAGAAATCGTCTCTATAGCGCTGGGAGCTATAATAACGTTTAGCTTCTGCAATTACGATCGATAGAATCGATAGAAATGAGGATAATCTTTCTTTTTTATTATAGAGAGAAGTGGGAGTTTATTTAAGTTTGTCAATGCCTGGCCCTTTCATAAGCTAAGCCTTTGTCGCAAAGATAAGTTATTCTTTAATTACAATTGTTACAGAGCTGTAGCCGCATATCTCCGTGCGTTGAATCTCAGTCCTAACAATGCAGTCGTACACGGAAATCTGGCGTGCGTTTATTACGAACAAGGGTGAGTTGATATTTTACGTTTGTACTTGCAACGGGAATTTACAGAAATTTAGCGTAATCTTAGTGAAACAAACACTGGCGTTCTTCCAAGAAAAATGACTGATCGAAAATTACATAATATTATAGGCTCATCGATCTGGCCATTGATACGTATCGTCGTGCTATTGAACTGCAACCGAACTTTCCTGATGCGTACTGCAATCTGGCGAACGCTCTCAAAGAAAAGGGACAAGTGGTCGAAGCGGAAGAATGTTACAATACCGCCCTCCGGCTTTGTCCCACACACGCGGACTCTCTTAATAACTTGGTACGAAATCATGCCGTTTCAACTGCAGAAGTAATTAGTGTCAGGAGGGGAATTAAATAAAGTTTATAAATGAAATGGTTTCTTGTAGGCCAACATAAAGCGCGAGCAAGGCTACATCGAGGAGGCAACTCGTTTGTATCTTAAAGCCCTGGAAGTATTTCCTGAGTTTGCGGCCGCTCACAGCAATCTCGCCTCTGTCTTGCAGCAGCAAGGCAAACTGAACGAGGCATTGATGCATTATAAGGAAGCAATTCGTATACAACCGACGTTCGCAGATGCTTACTCGAATATGGGAAACACCCTGAAGGAAATGCAGGATATACAAGGCGCTCTACAGTGCTACACTCGGGCTATCCAAATCAATCCGGCCTTCGCTGACGCTCATTCCAATTTGGCATCGATCCACAAGGATTCCGGCAACATTCCCGAAGCAATTCAGTCTTACAGAACAGCGCTGAAGTTGAAACCGGACTTTCCAGACGCTTATTGCAACTTGGCGCACTGTTTGCAAATAGTGTGCGACTGGACCGACTACGAAGCCAGGATGAAGAAGTTGGTATCCATTGTTGCTGAGCAGCTGGACAAGAATAGGCTACCAAGTGTGCATCCGCATCATTCCATGCTTTATCCTTTGTCTCATGAGTTTCGGAAAGCCATCGCTGCTCGGCATGCCAACCTTTGCATAGAGAAAGTAAGTCCGTTTATCTTACCTGATAAATCTTTTGCAGCAATTACACATTTCTATTCAGAATGATTAATATTCTATCCCTATCCGTACATATTGTGACATCAATAATTACTGTGGTAAATTGATCTCTTACAAATAAACTTGTACATTACAGATTCATGTTCTTCACAAACAACCGTACAAATACCCGCGTACAATCGGCACGCGATTGAAGATTGGATATGTCTCGTCGGACTTTGGCAATCATCCGACCAGCCACTTGATGCAGTCAATACCGGGCCTTCATGATCATGAGAGAGTAGAGATTTTCTGCTATGCGCTTAGCGCGGATGACGGTACAACCTTTCGTGCGAAGATAGCACGAGAGGCCGAGCATTTTGTCGATCTCTCTCAGATTCCGTGTAACGGCAAAGCCGCCGACCGCATCAACAGTGACAGCATCCATATTCTGGTGAACATGAATGGCTACACGAAAGGCGCTAGGAACGAGATCTTCGCTTTGCGACCAGCGCCGATACAGGTCATGTGGCTGGGTTATCCTGGTACCTCCGGCGCAAGTTTCATGGATTATCTCATCACGGACGAGGTCACCTCGCCGTTGGAGCTCGCCAATCAATACAGCGAGAAACTCGCCTACATGCCGCACACTTACTTCATCGGCGATCACAAGTACGTAAAATTTATCTTCCGCTCGTTCGCGAATCTTTTTAATAGACGAGGGTGAAATATAAAAGTTACACGTCTACGTTCTTGTAAAATCTTATTTCACGAAAATTGTAATTTGGCTGTTTATTGAAACTATTGATTTTTCCCCAGGCAAATGTTTCCCCATCTGAAAGAACGTTTGATTCTAACGGACAAGTTCAATCATAAGGGCAAAGTAGCTGACAACGTGGCGGTAATCAATGCCACGGATTTGTCTCCGATGATTGAGAATACTCTGATAAAAGAGATTCGCGAGGTAATTGTGCCGGATGCCAAAAAGCAACCTGTCGAGATCTCGCTCAAAGTTGCCGAATTACCGACTACCACTCCGATCGAGACGATGATCGCTTCCGGTCAGTGTCAGATGTCCGTGAACGGCGTCGTCTTGCAAAATGGTATGGCTACCACGCAGGTGAACAATAAAACCGCCACGGGCGAGGAGGTGCCTCAGAACATTGTCATCACAACCAGGCAGCAGTACGGCTTGCCGGAAGATGCCGTCGTTTATTGCAACTTTAATCAATTGTACAAGATTGATCCACTTACTCTTCACATGTGGGCGCACGTGAGTAACGACCGAGCAATTTCGTGAAATGTAAATTTCCGCCAAGTCAAATATCCAACTCCCTTTGACTTTAGATATTGAAACACGTGCCAAATTCCGTGCTGTGGCTGCTACGTTTTCCGGCGGTCGGCGAACCCAATCTTCAAGCAACGGCGCAACAATTAGGTCTGACGCCTGGCCGAATTCTATTCAGCAATGTCGCTGCTAAGGAGGAACACGTTAGACGAGGCCAGTTGGCTGATGTGTGTCTAGACACGCCACTTTGCAATGGACATACGACCAGTATGGATGTCTTGTGGACCGGAACGCCGGTGGTTACGCTACCGGGGGAAACTCTAGCTTCCCGTGTCGCAGCTAGTCAATTGAACACTCTTGGCTGTCCCGATTTGGTAGCGCGAACACGGCAGGAATATCAAGATATCGCTATTAGACTGGGCACTGATAGAGAATAGTAAGTATTTCGATAGCTGTGACATGCCTCGTTAGAAATTGCGTAAAATTTGTTTACGGAATATGTAACGCATGGAAGATTAACAATGTAATAATATTTATCCTTTTTATTTGCCAGCTTGAAAGCAACAAGAGCTAAGGTTTGGAAAGCTCGATCGGAAAGTCCATTGTTTAATTGCAAGCTGTACGCCATGGGAATGGAGATGTTGTATACAAAAATGTGGGAGCGTTATGCACGCGGGGAAAATCCTGATCATGTTTCAGCTGTCGATAAGAATGATAGTCAAAAGTCATCGAGCATATCTTCTTAAAACATTTAACGACTTTCATCACAATTATTTACTTAGCTTCACCTTTGTGATTAATGATTTCTCTTCCCTGCAAATTTTCCATGGTCAATATGTCTATTTCCAAATGCGGTCTCGTATAAATTTCGTGTTTCTGCTGACTATTTTGTATTTGAATTTGATAAATTCACGGAGCTTAGACTAGACAGATACTGATATTCACACTTGCGCAAGATTTCGTACGATACTCTGGTTCTGTTCGTTTTTAATGGTTTTCTTAATTAAATTTGGGCGTTTGATTAAAAATCAATTTAATCGCATTTTGTGAAAAATTGGTAAGATTATAGGAAGACGATTTGGCTTATACTTGTATAAAATTTAAAGAAACATTAAAATCCGTAGCAATAGAAAGTATCGAATATTTTAATTTCTGTAAAGAAACAGTATTTCCAATATCTTTGTTCTTTATTTATGCTTTTGTGCAAAATAATGTATGAATAAAATATTTGCAGTGGATTTGTTGAATTATCAAAGATCATTGAGAAAAAACTCGGAAATTTTGATGCTCTAAGCTCCAAGAATTTTAAGAAATTGCAAAAAATTGGATGTCTCAAAAATCAGACACGAGAACTTTATTTTCTAATTTCCAATATTATCGCAAGTTGCACTGCTATCAACTGCAACTGAGAATCCACTGTTGTACATTTTTGCTTATGTTATTGCAATCATTAAGTGAATTTGACGAATATGAACGTGCTCTCGAGATATCCATTCTCGCTTTCTGTAGGCAATCTTTTCACGCCGTGATATTTTGCGCAAGTAATTTGCTGAAGGATGCAAGGATACTTAACAAAGATTAGAGCTAATATAGTTTTTTGTGTACTTTATCGTATCATTCTCTTTCCACTATCACAAACGATGTAAAGGCTGCGGGCTTCGATCTTCGAAATTTACGATTTTAAAATTGGCAAGTTTGGAGAAAAGGACAAAAAACCAAAAGAAAAGACCGAGACGTATTCTTCAAATTTTAATAAATCAAGAAGTAAAGATGTCAAGGATCTAGCAATTCGAACAAGGGCCTCCGAAATCTCTTATCAATAAAAATTCCAAGGATATAAAGATTATAAATTGAAGAGCAATAAAAGAATCGGAAAAATTTATATAAAAAAAGAGCAAGAGAATAAAAATAATAGAAAGTGGATCTAAAAAATTAATTAAAAAATTATAAATCTCTAGGAATAACCGAGTGCAGAGGCTGAATATCGAAATAATTCTGCTAGTAATCGGTATTACACATACTTCTAGTTTCATAAAAAAATGATAATGTTGAAGGCTCTTAAAAATTATATCCCGGTATTTGATGTCTAATGTCGGTACAATCAAGTTTTTGTAAGAATAAAAGTGTATACGATATAATAGTTAACAGATCATTTCGGTATTCATTCTTTGATCGAACGGGTTCTACCACCGTTATCGGGATCCTCCAAGCGCCCGAAGAACAAGATGTCACTTATCGGCCACGGACAGCGTATAACACAACTGTATTATATCAAACGACTAATGATAATGTTCATGTAAATATTAAGGGTAATTGTTAATTATTTACGTTAGTTCAATAGCAAATGTTGTGCGATTTGTGGTACTGACGAAATGTGTAGAGACATAAGAGAGAGATAAAAATATCGGACTGTAGCGAACTGACTATACATATGTGTAGAGAGTAAAAAATCGACGAACGAAACCCTTCGCACAATTTGTGTGTCGCGGCGACTTTCTGTGACAGAACATTCGTATCAATACTTTATGTCAGTAACGCGATGATGACAGTACGATAATCGATCTCGAAAGGCAGCGAGTACTAAAGGATTAATTGCGTTTCTTAATGTAATATCGCTCAATATGACTGTATTATATTTTCAATATGCTCCCAATTTAAATATAATCCATCGTTGTATTTAATTTAATTAAATAAATATGGGTTATGAGAATTAACACGCCGTGGGTGGAGTTTGTCGCGAGCTCGATCTTGCCGCGTTGCGAACGAATCGCGCCGAGTGCGGTGTTGTCGAGGAATGTGCATACTTTATTATCCATCGGATGATTTTGCGTTTGCACGATCTACCGTTTCAGTAAGCAAAATGTTAGCGGTGCGCTGGCAGTTTGTCAGCGGATTCGAGCGGAATATCATGGCGGATTGGCTGATCGACTGCGTCTGCATTAGGCTCGTGTTCTGCTGGGACTACCGACGTAGCGTGAAGCGGAAACTAAAGCAAAATTTGTCATCTCACAATTATTTCCGTCTATTTTTGCATCATATAGAATAAGATATAATTATTCTCGGTTGAGAAAAATTGGATAAAAAGTTCCCTCCCTGTCTTGACAATTTTTTATTTGACTTTAACCGAATCAAATAGTCTCGCCTCATTCTGAACGTTCAATCTCTACACAGCCCATCTGTTATATTTTATTATTAAAATCTTATCTCTAGTATTTCGTATTTCGTTAACAAAATTTGGAGGAGACTCGCTTTGCAAAATTCGTTTCATGCAAATTGGCCGTTTGGGATACGAAGCATGCGTTTTTCATTGAGATTTGTTTCACTCGCTATTTAGCAGTGGTTTTAATGTAATGTGTCTTTTTTTTTGCTTGTGCCTGTGAGAGCCAATGGGCTCTGGCTATATGACCGAAGGCTACATCCTGGGGTGCGTTCCAAATTTCTACCTTGGTAACCTTGTCAGTTCTTGGAGTGGAGGGAGTTACAGTTAAGTAAGGTAGCAGTGGTTTTGGAACGAACGTGGTAAGTACATACATACAGCTATAGCAACATCTGTTAAAGATATATTAAAAAATGATAAAACCTCTGACGATAATGGCAATTCAGAAAGTGATCCACCTTAAAAAAATATATATATAATTAAAATTAAGTTTCAAATATAGAAATGACAAATGTTTTATTTATAACCTAACCTAACCTATATCATTGATAAATACTTATATTATCATCAATTAGAAGGCCACCATTTTCACCTCTGCTCACTTTCTGATTCTCGTCTACAGTTAAGATATGCTGACCTGGTACAAGTACAAAATTATCGGACATGATGCCTTATATTCAGAATATTATTCAATATTCCTCCGACTAACTAAAATTCGCATTTTATTTTTCCCGCCTTTTGCCTTGGTTACTATCACAACCTCTGAATTTTGGGAGGTCAGAAAGCTACCTCTGTGGTTAACCAATTATGCGTTTTGGAACGGTAAAGCCTATTGCACAATGCCAGGCAACAGGCAACAGGAACAGGGAATAGAATTTTTGAAGCGTTGGATTCGTCGGAAATTTTCTTCCAACCAATCCAACGCGTTAGAAATTCTATTCCCTGTTCCTGTTGCCTGTTGCCTGGCATTGTGTGATGGGCTTAACGTGAGGTTACTATAAACCAACCGCAAAGTCGTACCGAGGGTTTTGGAACGACCTATGGTAACCAAGGTAGGGATTTGGAACGCACCCCTGATTGGCTCTCAAAGGCAAAAAAGCACCGCGAACCTTGGCCTCTTGGAGCTTTGCTGATTTTAAAAGTTCTGCGACTTTACGCTTCATGAACGCTGTTAATGCCCGTTTCTACCAATGCAGTTTAACTCGGTTCAATTTACTTTATACCTTTCTCTAGTTTTACGAGTTGGAAAAAGATAGCAAGTAATTTAAACCGAGATTAAAGTTAGGCCCGGCCTACAATGAGTTGTTAGTCAGAAGTCGCAGTGATCCTTTTCCTTTCTGAGTGGAAGAAAAAGGACCGACATATAGTTCTGATTAGAGACCCTCTAATCAGAGTCTGGACATGCGGTATCCAGCTACTGATTGGTTCGCCATGTTTATAATTTTCCCACTTAATTTTGAATTGACAATTTTAATCCACTTTTATAGTTTTACAAACGACACGTTATCGTGATTGATTTTGATTATTTTGACGCGGATTCCTGTGTCGAGGTGTTATTGCAAAATGGTGCTGCACATTCACCCATTTTTGCAATAAACATCTCGTTGGATTTGACTAAACATGGCGGACAACTCTGTTAGCCAGACTCTGATTAGAGGGTGTTAAGGCCAATGTCCACGATGCTAGAACTTGGACCAAGTTCTAGCATCGTGGACATTGGGCTTTAAGCCCGTATCAGACTACGGATTGAGATTGAGATTAGATTGAAATTTGACCAATTAGAGTAAAGGCTATTAAACTTGAGATCAGTAAACTTTACTGCGATTGGTCAAATTTCAATCTAATCCCAATCTCAATCCGTAATCTGATACGGGCTTTAGAGGGTCTCTAGTTCTGACTTCTGACTAACGACTAACAACTCATTGTAGACCGGGCCTTAATCTGCACTGGGGTGCTTTCGCGACGTAGATCAAAATGATCCGGATCAAAATGATCCGTGCTATGATTGGTTAAATCTGAAATTTCGTAGCATCACATTGAAATTTTATTCAATGAAATTCCAGATTTGACCAATCATAGCACGGATCATTTTGATCCGGATCATTTTGATCTACGTCGCGAAAGCACCCCTGGTAGAAATATACGGGCATACATGGCTAATTGCGTGCAAGTCCGGTTTGGCGTTATCCACCTTACCGACAGAGAGGCCATGTTGGAATTAGCGTGTTCCTAATACCGCCATTCACGGATAGGTGACGCGCGTATCGGCGGCCACAAATCGCATTTCTCTATCTCATTCTCAATAGCATATCCGCCCACCGGCGGGACTATCAGCGGTTGCTCTCGATAATCGCTATTTGTTAAACGTCGGTTAGCTTTATATACGCGGCAGATAGAGGCAATGCGATGCAATACGGGTTTTAGGTTTCGTGTCGTGCGTTTATCGCACGTTTGCACGGGGCCCGACGAATCGTTTCGCGCATCGTCGCGAGACGGCATGCGTGGAGCGTACTGACATCTCAAAATATTGAAAGCTCGTGGCGAAAAACATTTCCATCGAAAAGATATCACACCATTGCGAGATCCTTACGGCGGTTCATGTTCCGATTTTTTATGTCCTTTAGGTCATGTTATTTCGAATCAGGGTGTCAATTCTGTATTATAC